TGTTGTTTTATTTCCATTATAAATTACTTTTGTTTTAATTAATTTGTTTATAAATTAAAGCATGATATGGAATACTTAATATGAAGTGCTCGGTATAACTTTAAAAATTGTATTGGACGCATTTTTTATGTCCCCAATATGATGTTTTTAACAATCCATTTTATGTAGATGAAATAAACTAAATATATTATTGTAGTTAAAATTAAAGAACACATTTTGTTTTCTTCTTTTTATGTTCTTTTGTCACAAATTAAATGTCATGTTTTTAAAATTTTAAATAGATTTTCTTAAATACCATTATATATATATATATATATATATATATATATATATAACACTTGTATTTGAATTGTCAATGAAAAAGTACGCTATGTATATAACAAAATATTTAAACTAAAGTCACACATTAAAAACATATTACGCACTGTGCACTTGAGTATATCTGCTAATTATTAAGTTAGCTTATAACGTTCATATTGGCTAACTTTTTTCAAACACGTAGTAAGCCATTCTATCCATATACTTCATAGAAAGGAGTGTGTTTGTGTGTAAAAATTTCAATGAGTCCAAATAATCGAAGAACTCAAAGTATGGAGTAATAAGGTTGCTTTTTGAGGGTGATACTTATATCGACAATATGAATATACTATGTATAAATACGAAGTAATTCTTAATTAAAGCACATTTGACTTTGCTGATAGTTTCTCATAATGCATAATGATGACATTAAGGAAAAAAGTAATGGGTTAAATGTCTTTTTGACGTGATGTAATGAAGCGTCTGAGTGTGAAGAGTGATATTGTTTCGGCTCTGATAAAGTTCCACATGCATATCGGATACGTAGCTGGGTCCTTTTGTGCTCACAACTTTTCCAAAACCTCATTATTATTGCTACCAAATATACTTGTAATATGCCTTTTAAGTCTAAGGTACGAATATATATGAGGCCAACTTCTACCAAAGATGCGCACATCAATTGCAAATAGCTAGGGAGTGTAACATGTACGTAACCAATTAAAGGATACAAATTAAGAAACCTGAACACTAGACAAACGTAAGTAATCGATCTGATCACGTGTATTTTAATAAGGTAAAGGTAAGGAGAAGGATCTTGATGACATTACCATCTATGCATGTAAACCCACATTTAGATCATAGAACATTTTGTATGTGAAGGCCATGAATTAGGAGGTGGCTCAGGAAAAGTAGTTACATATAAGAAGGATCTTCATTCTCTTAACATGATCTCCAATACAATTGTTGAATACAGTCCCAACAGCTCAGGTTCTAGAAGCATCCAGAGTATTCCAGAAACTTCCTCTAAGAATCAGTTATCCTACCTGGCAGGTTGTTACGATAATTTTCTATTTTGTTAGGTTGATGTAATATTTAGAGCTAAGATATTTTGTTGTAAATATCTACACTATAAATAATTGTATGCTTCCCCATTTATCATTATTCAAAAATATACCAAAAGTTCCAGAAAGTTCTCTCTACTTCCTTCAATCTGTTCTTCATTTTTTCTCCAATTTTCCTCTGATTTTAACATGGTATCAGAGCTGTAGAATTAGCTCGTGAATTCTTGATTTTTCTAAAGTTGTTCTACTACATTTTGATCCTGTTGAATTGAAGATTCGTTTGATTTCTGCGATTGAAATTCAGTTTGTAAGTAATTCTTTGATCGATTTCTGGTGATAATTTTCTTTTAAGGCTCAATATTGATTGAAGTTGAAGATATTGTTGTTTTTGAATTGAGGATTGACTCGATTGCTTGATATTGTTGATTCTGGAGCATTTCTGCAATTTTCTAAAGTATTTTCTACTTGATTGCAATTTTTCTGAAGTTTTTCTCTGCATTCGCAAGTATCAATTCAATCAATTTTAACCTAGAAATATGGCTGCTACTTCTTCTCAAAACACTGATCCTTCCTTAGATCCTGCTTCTCCTTACTATCTTCATCCTAGTGATTCTCAGTATAAGCTTGTTCCTATGAAGTTTGATGGAAATAGCTATAATGATTAGAAGAGATCAGTGATAATAAGACTATCTGCTAAGAATAAGCTAGGATTCATTGATGGAACAATAATCGTTAAGCCTGTTGTAACCTCACATCTGTATAAAGCTTGGGAGAGATGCAATTGTACTTTGATTTCCTGGTTTATCCAAGTTCTTGATGCAAACATTGCTAGGAGTATTCTGTACTTTGACACAGCTAGAGATATTTGGCTTAATCTGGAAGAACGTTTTGGCCAATCGTCTGGAGCACAACTCTATTCAATTCAGCAACAACTTGCTGAGATTCATCAAGGATTTGAGAATATTTCTACATTCTACACAAAGATCAAGATGCTTTGGGATGAATATGATGCTAATGATTCGCTACCTACATGTCAATGCTCTCAATGCAATTGCAACATCACCAGAAAAATTCTTAAGTCACAGCAAGATCAGAGACTAACTCAGTTTCTCATGAAGCTAAGGGAAGAGTTCAGTTAAGTTAGAGCTAACATTATGATGCAGTTTCCTCTTCCTACCATTTCTCATGCATATCGCCTTCTGATGCAAGAAGAAAGGCACAGAGATGTCTATAATTCTACTCATTCTAATAATACTGAAGATGCAATGGCTCTTGCAGCATCAAACAAGAAAAGGTATTATGAACAGCACAATTCTTATAGAAACAACAACAATCCAGCTACAGATCAGAACACTTTCAATAGGAATGGAAATTCTGCTCCAATTGGCTCTTCACAAACTGGCAATATTAGAGGTCCTTGGAATCAATATATCGAAGATCTTCACCATACTTTTGTGAATATTGCAAGATTTCTTGCCACACAATTGACAGATGCAGGAAAGTGCATAGATATCCTCAATTCTCTAAAAATAATTAGCAGAACAAAAGAGTTGCTGTTACAGCCTATACCAATGATCAAGATGCTGAAACTTCAGAGCAGAAGAGTCCTATCATTACAGTTGAGCAATACAACAATTTGTTGTCTCTCTTGGACAAGCAAGTGACTGTTGAGAATCAGAACAATAACAATGCTGCTATTGCTCTGATTCTCTCTGCTTACTATCTTTGAATAATCAGCATTGGACTATAGATAGTGGAGCCACAGATCATATGGCTCATAATTTGAATCTATTTGATGAGTATTTTCCTGCTGGTAATGGTCTAAACAATATTACTATACCTGTTGGAAAGCAAATTGCAGTAATGAATAAAGGAACAGTGATACTTGGACATGATATAATCCTTAAGGATGTAATACATGTTCCTGGCTTCCAATTTAACCTCATTTATGTTCCTAAACTCTGTAAGGACATGCAATGTGAAGCTTATTTTTCTTGTGACAAATGTTATCTTCAGGGGCCTGCTTTGAGAATGCCACTGCTGCTTGGTAAACTAATTGATGGACTGTATTGTCTAGAGCAGTCTTTTGTTGATGAAGCTCGAGTGTTCAAGAATAATGACTCAAGTCTAGATGTTGCTAATGTCACTAGTTTGTCAGTCTTAGATTTTGCAAAATTATGCCATTTGAGGCTATGTCATATGTCATTTTTGCATCTTAATAAGATAAGACCAGAAATAAATGTCAAGGAATATCTTGATAATTGTACTTGTCAAGTGTGTCATTTTGCTAGACAACCTAGACTACCTTTTGGACATAGCCAAATAAAAACTTCTGGTGTATTTCAGTTGTTGCATTTAGATGTTTGGGGTCCACATAGAGTGGGTACTCATCATGGTTGTACACTCTTTCTTACAATAGTGGATGATTTTTCAAGGTTCACTTGGGTTTTCTTGTTGAAATATAAATCTGATGTTGCCAAGATATTCAGAGAATTTGCTGCCTTGATTTCTAATCAGTTCGGTTGTAAAATCACAGTTGTAAGAACTGATAATGCACCTGAACTTTGTGAGGGTGAAATTAAACAGTTTTATTTTAAAATGGCATTTCTCATCCGTCTAGTTGTCCTAACACACCATAGCAAAATGGTGTTGTTGAAAGAAAACACAAACACCTTCTAGAAACTGCTAGAGCCCTATATTTTCAGTCCAAAGTTCCTAAGAAATTCTGGGGTGATAGTGTTTTAACAACTACTCATTTAGCAAACAGAATTCCATTACAAAGCCTTAATATCTCTTCCCTTTTTGAAATCCTTTTTGGTCACACTCCTCAACTAGACTACCTTAGAGTGTTTGGTTGTCTATGCTACATTTCTACTCTTAAACAAGGTATATCTAAGTTAGATCCATGTGTCTTTATTGGATATCCTAGTTCTCAAAAGGGTTATAAAGTCTTTAGTCTGAAAACTAACAAAATTTCACTTTCCAGGGATGTTGTTTTCTATGAGAAAAATTTTCCTTTTCTCTTTCTAATTATGATTCTCCCATTTCCACACAAATTTTTCTGCCTTTAAACACACCTCTTCCTGATATTTTCTTTGATGATTTCCCTCCCACTTCTCCTACTCAGAATTTCAATACTTCTCCTCCTCCTATTTCTTATCCTTCTCCTTCTCTTTCTCCTTTTCCCTCTCCTCCACCTATTTTTCATCCTATTCCTGATCCCACCCTTCTCAGAAGATCTGTCTGAACCAGATTCCACCCAAATACCACAAAGATTATCTTGTCACTGCCCCCAACAAACACTGGTGCAACATGGTTCTGTTTACAGAACTTCCTTCTTCACACTTGACATTTATTGTAGCTCTTGACCATCTGTCAGAACCAGCTACTTATGCTGAAGCTTCTCTGGATAGTAATTGGGTGTTGGCTATGAAAAAAGAACTTGCAGCATTGGAAGAAAATCATACATGGGATTTGGTTGATTTGCCTAAGGGTAAAAAGGCTATAGGATGCAAATAGGTGTTCAAAATCAAGCTCAAAGCTGATGGAAGCATTGAGAGGTTCAAAGCTCGATTAGTTGCCAAAGGTTACACACAGAATTTTGGTATTGATTACTAAGAAACATTTTCACCAGTTGTGAAAATGGCTACAATTCGATGCATCATTGCATTAGCTGCACATCATGGTTGGGAATTGTTTCAACTTGATGTTAATAATGCCTTTTTACACAACACTCTTGATGAGGTGGTGTACATGAAAGCGCCTGATGGTATTCCCAATCCCTTTGGAAAAGTTTGTTTGCTAAAAAAGTCCTATATGAACTCAAACAAGCCTCACGTTAATGGTTTGCTAAACTACTAGCTGAGCTCAAGTTCTTTGGTTATTCTCAGTCTCAATATGATAGCAGCCTGTTCATTAAGAAGTCTAGCATTCACACTACCTTGGTTGTTGTATACGTTGATGACATTATCATTACAGGTAGTGATTTAAGCAGCATTAACTCCTTGAAGACTCATTTACACCAAACCTTCACTATCAAAGATTTAGGAAAGCTACACTATTTTCTTGGAATCGAGGTTGGTTACTTGTCTTCTAGCATATCTCTTACTCAAAAGAAATCCACCAAGGAATTACTTGAAGCTTCTGGTATTTCAGATTTCAAAAAAGTAGTGACTCCTGTGCCTGTTCACTTGAAACTCTCAGCAGATGATGGTGATCTATTACTTGATCCTGATTTTACAGGAAAATGATAGGAAAACTTAATTTCCTCGCCAATATAAGACCAGATTTAGCTTATACTGTTCAATGTTTAAGCCAGTTTCTTAAAGATCCAAGATCCTCTCACCTATAAGCTCTACATCATACTCTCAACTATGTTGCTGCTACTACAGGGAAAAGCATCTTACTTAATGGTTCAGCCACCTATTCTTCAGGCTTATTTCGACTCTGATTGGGGGTCTTGTCTAGACAGTAGAAGGTCAATTACAGGCTTTGTTATTATGCGTGGTAATTCCCCTATTTGCTGGAAGTCTAAGAAACAAGGTACTGTTTCAAAATCATCAAGTGAGGCTGAATATCGAGCAATGGCATCTGCAGCAAGTGAAGTTACTTGGTTGGTTAACTTGTTAGAAGAACTTGATGTTGATCCTTTGAGACCAGTTGTTCTGCATTGTGATAATCAAAGTGCCATTCACATAGCACGAAATCCAGTATTCCATGAACTTACCAAGCACATAAAATTCGATTGTCACTTTACACGTGACAAGGTGCTTGAGGGGCTGTTAAAACTGACATATGTTCCCACTTCAGCTCAACTTGCCGATGTCTTCAATTCACAAAGGTTCTGCCTTCTGCACAACAAGACCTTTTATTGTCCAAACTTGGCATGACGTCACCTATGCCAAGTTTAAGGGGGGATGTTGAATACAGTCCTAGCAGCTCAGGTTCCAGAAGCGTCCAGAGTATTCCAGAAACTTCCTCCGAGAATCAGTTATTCTAACTGGCAGGTTGTTACAACAATTTCTATTTCGTTAGGCTGATGTAATATTTAGAGCTAAGATATTTTGTTGTAAATATCTGCACTATAAATAGTTGTATTCTTCCCGATTTATCATTCAAAAATATACCAAAAATTCGAGAAAGTTCTCTCTGCTTCCTTCAATTTGTTCTTCATTTTTTCTCCAATTTTCCTCTGATTTTAACAGCGATGACTGCCTAGATCTATATTAAGTTAATAATACTACATCATAATTCAATTTCTTATTACATATACTAAATTTGATTAAAAAGGATCATTAGATCGCACTTATATTCGGAAAAGCACAATAAGGTTATCTTTAGAACCACCTACTTGTTCTCCAAGTATTTATAACTTACAAGTACATATATATGATTCAAATCCCTCCATGCTTATAAGACCGTCTCAAAAGTAGCTTAGTACTCGTATATGTGAGAGTAACATTGTAACTCCTCTCGACCTTTTAAGGCATGGACACATATAATTAAAGAGATAAATTAATTATAGGGAAATTTGTGACAATTTTAGCAAGACGAAGGTATACCTTGGATATATATACTTTTATTGTTACTCTGTCGTTGTTCTATATTGACTTTTATGTTGTCGGTACACAAATTCAATCATACGTATTATTTTTAATTTTTCATTAGTAAAAATCATAGAAATAAAGTTAAGAAATTGAAAACAATACACACGAGGAAAAAAAATAGTAAGATTCAACACAATTATAATATCTATGTTTATGCTTATATTGTATAACTATTGAAGGTCATCAAGTTTGATCATGTTAAATTTAAAAGTTAGTGTGGAACAATTTAAATAAAAAACGGAGAAATAATTTATTATAGTATGATCAAGTCCTATAATCAAATATTAGAATATAGATCTTATTCCTCCATATCTCTCTCCTCTCTCCTCTCTTCTAAACCTTAGCCTCCATTTTTTAAAGGGCTTTCATCAGTTTCAACTGATGGAAAGCCCCCAATTTTTTGTTTTTTTTAAAGCTTTTTTAGGTTTATAATAATGCTTCCTCCTTTTGGAAGGAACTTTTCTCCCTCGAAAGAAAGGGTTTCCGATCTCCTTCGAAAGACAAGGGTTTTTAGACCTCTTTCGAAAGATAAGGTTTATCTCCTCTTTTCTGGGGAGAAATTTCTTAGTATTGAATCCATGATATTAGGTCTAATGGATTGTTGTAAAATTATTTCGTTGGTGAAAAATTATGCGAGATCGCAAAGGTTATCAAGATTTCGAATACAAACAGATGAATCAGAAGGAAAACATCCTCACGACTACAAAGAATCGTTAGATTATCTCTTCAACAAGTTGTATTTTTCAGCGAGATAAGCGGGAGATGTTGTATAGTGCAAGATCTATCCGAAGATCGTAGTTTTTATGAAGGAAAATTTTATTTGATTCAATATTTTATGTATTTGTTAAAGTTGAATCTCTTTTGTAGATGTCGTATGACTTTTTAATAATGAACTAGTGTGTGACCCGGGCTTTGCCCCGGGTGATACTTTGAATAATTTCATTTTTATATTAGACGCATTAAAAGACTTATTAATTTTTTTTAACGTGGGTAAATTAGAATACAATGACAACAATAATTTATTCTACATTCTAATACATGTATGTATTTATATATAAATTTGGATTAATAGAGCATGAATTAATTCTAGTCAAGATTGTAATACATATTGTTTCGGGTTTTTCTGATGTTCTGCGGGAGAGTTACAATTCCGAGACTGGAACCGGACGCCTGTACCTGCAAAACAACGGAGACTCCTGGTGGTGGGAGCTCCGCCTCCAACGATCAAGTTAGTACTAGATTAAGGAGTAATTAATGCGGAAATTAAAGTGATTGGGTCTCTCTAGGTGAGAGTGTTTAATGTAGGTAATCTGCTTTTTTAGCGTGATCAGCCTGTTATTCCTGTAATCTCCCTTAATGAGGATTAAGGGAGGTATTTATAACCTTGGGAAACGTGCTAATCCTAGGTTTAGGTTAACCTAGGGCTGATTGGGCTTCCCTCGGAAGTTGGGCCTGGGTGGCCGGTTTCTCCATTAGGCATGGAGTATGCCACGTGTCATGACATAATAGGTCCAAGGTGGACGAATAAGCGTGTGCCACGTGGCAAGCCCTGACAGTTCCAACTGGGGGACACTTGGCAGGACCTGATTGACCCACGTGGCGCATTCCGATTGGTGTGAGCAAAATCCCCTAATCATTTGCCCCTCACAGGTGGCACGTGACTGGTCACGTGTTACCTGTGACAGGTGTCGCACTGTAACAGGCGACGGCCTGCTACAGGTGTCACTCGGCGAAAGGTCGAGAGATTCTCCCGCCCAAATTATGAATTCTGGAAGTGACCCTTCGCCTTCTCACTTCGCCTATATAAGGGAGTGTTGACTTCAGTCATTTTCACACTTTAGAACTTTGTGAGAGAACATTCGGACCCCTGAACTTGCTCTGACAATTTGGACCCTTTCTGCCTACCGCCTGTTCTGACAAGCCGACTGCACAAGATTTTCAGAACTCCATCAACGTCACTCGTTCAGGTAACCGTCGTTCTCTTACTCTTAATTTTCTCTTTATTTTATTCTTTTTTGAAATGGCACCACGGAAGCACACGACACGACCTAGGTTAGTGATCAGCCGGTCACCGGGGACGGCTGAATCTAGGACTAGGAGTGCCGCCTGCCCTTTTCGGACCCATCTTTGCCCTTTATACAAAGTCCGACTGTATCTGTGTCTATGCAGAGCATGATGGCCAGAACAAAAAAGACTGCCAGGATCTCAAACTCAGACGTCTCCTCCCACAGGGTGCCGATTAGTGAAACATCTGACCAGGCACCAGATGTGGAAGTGAAACAAGCGGCTTGAAAGCCGGCAGTTCTGAGGGAGGAGTCAAGGTGACCCCTTCCCAATTTACAGTTGACAATTCTTCATTCTCTCCTGCTCCTTTTAAAGGAGAGGAGGCGGGCCCCTCCGGGAGAGGGGAGGAGTCGTCCTCTTCGGACTCGTCAGAGGACGATTCCGAGTCTATCTCTTATGGCCATGCTTCTCTGGACACAGAAGAGAAAAACAGTCGCCTGCAACAGGCGAGGCTTTCTCACGCAGTTGAGAAGGGGGACGATTGGGCGGAGCCATCCGCCTCTCACCGAGAGCAAAATACCCCCTACTACTGCACGGTACCTCGGGGCCGGATCACGGCCATGCAAGAGAAAGTGGAGAGCTTTATCGCAAACCACACAATGGGCCCCGGCTTTTTAGTGTTTGTGCCGGATCCAGAAGACACAGTCGTCTGGCCGGCTGGTACCAGTTATGATAGCGCCTGCTTTGGCTGCTACGAGGCGGCCATCAAGGCTGGGTTGCGCTTCCCACTACATCCAGCTGTTCAGCGGATCTTGGATGGGTATGAGTTGGGGTTATGGCAGTTAGCCCCAAACTCCTGGGTCAACGTACTCGGCTATGTGGACGGGTGCGAACTGCACGGGGTGGAGCCGAGCTTCGAGGCTTTCGCCCACATGAACTATCTCAGCCGGACCCCTAAGGCAAGCGGTACCGGCTGGTATCAATTGACGAGCCACAGGGGCTACCTCATGACGAGAGGTAAAACAAACAAGTGGAAGGTCTGGCGGAGCACCTTCCTCGTCATTGAGAGTTCAGACAGAGAGCTGAACAAGCGCTTCAACAGGTGGAACAGGAATCCGCCCCTTCTTGTAGGCGGCCGAAGCATGCCGCCTGTTCCCCCCAAGGCTAAGAAAGAGATTCTGGATAAAGGACTCTTCAAAGTAGAGTCGAAGGTGAACTCTACTTCAGGGGTACGAGAGCAAGTACCCCTGCATTGCGTCCCGAGCTTCAAATGTCTCTACGACGAGTACTTTTTGGCCGCCTGTGGCCTCAGCAGTCGGTGCTCCAGAGGTAGCCGGCCTGTCGAATACTCTGTTGTTTCGTGCATTTCTTGTTATGACTTTTATTAACTTTGATATTTGTTTTTACAGCGGACGCCATGAGCAAAATTACCGCCTCCAAGACTGCGGCGGCCATGTTGCGGGCCTCCATCATGCAACAGTCTTCAACCGACTCCCCCAACAAGGGGGCACCCTTGGTGGGCTTCGAACCTTTCACCCTCTTTTTGGAGTTGTGTTTATGCATATACTGACTTTTCTTCTTTTTTAGACGGGCGCTCCAAGAGCTTCTTCTTCCCAACAGCCGGACCCCAAGGCCCGGAG